GTTTTTCCATTTTCCCAAAGTTCTGGAGTAACATTTAGATGTAAATGGATAATTAAATTCCTGAGAAGACTAAAAGAAGGTCATTAATGGTGTTTTGACTTTAAAAAATTGAAATTATTGAAAAAACGAGTGCGTGTGGATAAACAACTGCAAATTTCCAATGACAATTCAGTCTGTGGGATTTTATTAAAGTGTGAAGTTTAATAATACCTAAAAAAATGATTGGAAACCATAATTTCTGTTAATTTCAGTTATAGAATTCTAACAAAACAATTAGATCATTTCTCTTGATTTCTATGAGGTGATAGTTAATTGATTCGGCCTTTGACCTTATCAACTATCACCTCATAGAAATCTTGAGCTCATAATCTAAATATTAATTAGCATAGATTTTTACAAATTTTATTTGTCTGTTTTCTCCTTAGTTTTAGTTTTGACTAGGAAGATAGATCAAACACTCAAGACCGTGTTTGACCACATTTTCAAACACCTCGAAGTTCATCAAAAATACTCTGATATGTGTCCTATTTTCAACTCTCTTCTTGTTGTTTGGAAATGTGGCAAACATGATCTTTTGTGTTTGACAGTGAGTACAATGTAACCACTCTTATTTCTTAGTCTGTTAAGCAGGAAACTAAAACTAGAGTGAGAGGAGAGAAATGGCTTTTCTCATTGTGAAAATGTCCATGAAACTTGGCGGCACAAATTTATATAGTGCCCCTATCACCCCAATGAATGTAGGTTGAGCCCCTCCTTTGCGTATATATGCACATTTATTCACCAAGTTATGGAGACCTAAGTTGTATCCAGTTTTTTACCCTCCCACCCTTGCTTTGATGACATGTAATTATTTCACACTTTTCAATTCTGTTGTGTGATCTCCTGCCTAGGCTAAAACTTGCCACTTTTTTCTCAGTTCATTTGTACTCACCCAGTCAGGGGCATAGAAACAATATACACCGCTATGAATAAGCATGCCTGTACTAGCCCTTGTCATTCTTACTAGCCCCCAAAAAGTTACATCTCTTGGTACTTCTTTAATATTTTAAGCCAAAGGGTGCATTCCTTTGGGGTGATCTCGATCAGGATCAGTAATCCATGATCACTCAGATCATGGTGCACCAAAGGAAGGAATGAATCCACTCTGGCCACGGATTCATCAACTCCTTTGATGCACC